GCCAATGAAAACTCTTGAATTGCATTATCCAATGATCCAGTTTTTAATAACAACATGTAGCCAGCTTTCCAATTTCCCCAAGGTGGATAGAACAGTCAACACCTCTTTCGCGTCTTCCTTTGTTCTCAAACTTCTGAAAGACATTCTCATTGTCCACTCGTTTCCAAACCTAATTGTCAAGTGATAACATACTATACACTTAGATATTTTATAAATTGAGTCTTCAAGTCGGACTTTTTTTTTTCTGTTAGACTCAAGGAATTTAAACTGAACATCGCCAACACAGTGATCTCGCAAGACAACTCAAGCCTATTGACCATGGATACTGGACAACTCCTCTTTTCAGTCGTAAACTTCAGTTGAAGTTTACCTTGAAGCAGCCATAAAGATCCAAAACAGAGAACCGAGGTCAATCGTAAGGTTAAACACCTTCGTGGGTCGTTGCCCCACATTTTGCAAAAGGAAGTTGGAAATTCAAACATTTCTCAGGAAGTTTCTTCAACAGTTTATGACAAAGAAAACAAATAAGCAAGCAGACAACCAAAACAAATTTTGATTCGACATTCTCAAATTAAAAATGCGTCAGAGAATTGATGATGATGTAAACATTTTGGGAGTAATAGGCTGGATGTCATAAAGTTAGCTCGCGTTTGCATATTAGTAAAATAACAAGAACACATTCAGAGTTATTTGAACGTAGCTAACGTATATTTGGGCATTGGACGTCGTACTCCAGGAAAGACACTGTCCTTTGTTTGTGATTCAGATCAAATCCCCGCTTACGAAATGAAAGATTTTTGGTGATGTCAATTAGGCGTGTGTTGAAATAAAGGTTTTCACTTTGTTATAGTTGTATTGTTTAGTTCCTTTTTTCCGTTTTGTTAAAACTAGGAGAGGGAGAGGACTGTTGGTGGGTTTTATTAGTAGACCTGTCATCACAGTTCTCCTGAACAGTGAACAAAATCAGGAACTTCTTTTTTGTGATTAGTACCTGAAGTATCCGTTTGAATCTTCAGTAAGAATGGCTATAATCTAAGCATTTGGATGTGAAGTTTTAAAATTTCTTCTCGATTAGAGATAAAAAACTCGATGAATCCCAGTTAAATGATGACTAGACCTGGGTAGGGTGGGGAACTGTTTAGTCGCAGGGATGCACAGAAGGTTAAGGGAGGATTTTGAAATGTGTTCCAATTAACGAACACGCTCAGAAATGGATATTTGACGGAAGTAGGGTTGAAGAAAACAGAGGAGTTGGAGAGATGTTGTTGAGACCCGGAGGTCTGCGTTTAATCGGCTGGAGATCTTTGATTTTTGAATGGTAAGCTAAACGTGGGATTCTCGACGCCTGCGCTTAGCGAATCTAAGTTGTCTAAAGCAAAGGTTACACTAAGGTTACCAAGCGTAAAATAGCGTGGGAAATTTTCCCTTCGGTCGTAAAAATAACACGAAAACAAAAACTTTACAAAGATCGAATTCTGGCTCGGCTATTTACGCTCCCTCAGTGATGCAAAGAGGCTTGAACCCTTTTTAAAATTGTAAATGAAGGGTTAAATTACTGTCGTGATCAATTAACACTCGAGGGAGGACAAAAAGACGGATATCATGAAGGTTTTTCCCCTCACTCCATCCCTCCCCTCCCCTTCCATTCGTCTGGCCCTTGACCGGTCATGACAGGCAATATTCACGACTGCACAAAATGCTTATTTGCGCTGTCCAATGACTGTGAAGGCTACAAAAATCGCAAAGAGCAACCACGTCACAATTTTTAATACAACTACGTGTAGAAACAACAAACACATAATTGCCTTTTTAATGGTTCAAAAAGCTAAATCATGATAGGGATAACTACAAAGCTGTCAGATGGGAAAACGTCTATCTCTTCACTATCATCACTGATACCTGCTGCCGAGAATTTGAAATATTTTACCGTGCTGAAAATTTTAAATACACCCTGAAAACAGGGATTTACTGACTGAACACGAAATAACAAGTAATAAGTTATGAAAAATGTAGTTTAGAAAATATCTCTAGCAAAGCGTTAAGTTCATTCTAACATTATCATATCATGAAAAAATTAGAAATACCTTTCAGTTCAATAATTAATCTTTTCAAATGTTTAATTGAGACAAAATATCTAATGTTAAAAAGTCAGAAACTGAAGTAATAAGAAATATGCAAAATATGCCAGCATGCTCATTGGTCGAGAACACGTCAATTATTCCCAGACAGTGCAGAAAGTTGACATCAAATTGATTAGCAGATAATTTGCGAAAGCACAACAAACAAAATAGCGGACAGGGTGGGAAAAAGTTTTGACGTTTTTTGAATTCAGCGTTTGAAGGAGAGTGCTAAGAATGAAAACATCCAACAAAGCACAAACCCCGAGCTAAAAGTGTGGATGTCTAGGGCTTCCAATAAAGGCTAAAACGAAAGTATTGAAAGCCCTGAAAAACAATCGCTAGGAAGTTTATGAAACAATTCTTCAGAGAGACTGGGAAGATTGCAAGAGTGATGACCCTGGTGTACTAATTACTGCTATCAAGCTATAACTAACTGAGAAAGGAAGCGAACGCTCGAGTTTTCATGGCAGGACGTTTAAAAGCTCGAAGTAACTTCTTGCTGGGAAGCCCTGACAGCACAAAGGCAAGCGGTCGAGCCAGTAAAACACGACACGAAATAAACACGACTAAGAGGAAAACAGAGTCTGATTTTTGCAGGTAAGTTATTAACAGATAATCACGTTTTTTCTCCTACAATTTGTGTTAAATCAGCACTCGTATATTTTCCAAGAACGGCAAATTTCACTCGCCTTACGGGCTCGTGTAGTTTTGTTAGCCTTTCAACAGTTCACTCGCGCTAATTGATCTCAAATTTTACTCGAAATCTTGTGATTTTTCTATGAAAATCTATAATTTATGCATTAATTTAGTGATAAATGCGTGTTAAGAACAACAAAAAGATAAAGCGTTTTCAGCTTTTAAGCGTTCACAATTGACATTGTCTATGTCTACCCTGTGTCTTTGAACTTTCGTATATCTTTTCCAAAACTGAGACTCTTACTCAATGTCTCCTTTATCATAAAAAATGTAGATATGACAGTTTTTATCCAAAATATACATGAAACGGTTCTCACCGGCGTCTGTAACGTGATTTTCGCCTAGATTAAAAGAAGACTTCACATGCTGCTGGTTTTGATGCTTGACGTAGACTGGCAACACCGGCATCGGTGATCTGATTATTACGCAGATAAAGTTTGGTGACTGTAAATGTTGGTGTCTGTAATGCTTGACATAGACTGGCAACAGCGGCATCGGTGATTTGATTACTAATCAGATTAAGTTTGGTGACTTTACATGTTGGTGCCTGTAATGCTTGACATAGACTGGCAACACCGGCATCAGTGACCTGATTACCACCCAGATAAAGATTAGTGACTTTACATGTTGGTGTCTGCAATGCTTGAGATAGACTGGCAACACCGACATCGGTGATCTGATTATCACTCAGATTAAGTTCTGTGACTTCACATGTTTCTGTCTGTAATGCTCGAGATAGACTGGCAACACCGTCATCGGCGATCAGATTACCCCTGAGAAAAAGTTTGGTGACTTTACATGTTGGTGTCTGTAATGCTTGAGATAGACTGGCTACACCGGCATCTTTGATCTGATTATAATCGAGAAAAAGTTTGGCGACATTACATGTTTGTGTCTGTAATGCTTGACAGAGACTGGCAGCACCGGCATCGGCGATCTGATTAGCACTCAGATGAAGTTTGTTGACTTTACATGTTGGTTTCTGTAATGCTTGACATAAACTGGCAACACCAGCATTGGTGATCTGATTACCACCCAGAGAAAGACCGGTGACTTGACATGTTCGTGTCTTCAATGCTTGAGATAGCCTGGCAACACAAGCATCGTTGATCCGATTACCACTCAGATAAAGTTTGGTGACTTTACATGTTGGTGTTTGTAATGCTTGACGTAGATTGGAAACAGCGGCAACTGTGAACTGATTATCATCCAGACTAAGTTTGGTGACTTTACATGCTGGTGTCTGTAACGCTTGACATAGACTGGCAACACCGGCATTGGCGATCAGATTACTACTTAGAAAAAGTTTGGTGACTTTACATGTTGTCTTCTGTAATGCTTGAGATAGACTGACAACACCGGCATCGGTGATCTGATTATCATCCAGAACAAGTTCGATGACTTCACATGTTGGTGTCTGTAATGCTTGACATAGACTGGCAACACCGGCATCGGCGATCAGATTACTACTTAGAAAAAGTTTGGTGACTTTACATGTTGTTGTCTGTAATGCTTGAGATAGACTGACAACACCGGCATCGGTGATCTGATTATGATCCAGAACAAGTTCGGTGACTTCACATGTTGGTGTCTGTAATGCTTGACATAGACTGGCAACACCGGCATCGGTGATCTGATTACTACCCAGATCGAGTACGGTGACTTTACAAGTTGGTTTCTGCAATGCTTGACATAGACTGCCAACACCGGCATCGGTGAACTTCTGACCTATCAGCCGAAGTTCAGTGATTCTATTCCATTCAGATTCGTCCTCTGCATTGAGTGCACCAAAAACATCTAATGTAAAAGGCACCGCAGCGTAGTCCAGAGAGGCAATGTCGACGTTAGAAAGATCAAAACATTCATCGTATATGCAGAATACGTCATGAAATCTCTTTACTATTCCCTTGGCAAACTCGATGTCTTCGTATTGTAGGAGACATTTAGAAATTAAATGCCCCCTTGTGTCTTCGTCTGCCAATAAGTCGTCGCTGAGAAATTTTTGGATAATCAACTTTTCCTCAAATTCGTTGTCTTTTTGCTCGGACAAAATACCGGACATAAATAGAACTACTTCTGTAGACACATCTGTGGGGGGGATAGTTCTTGTGTTCACAAACCAACGAGCCGCTAAGTACTCTTGGAGAGTCAAATGTGTAAAACAAAAATGTTTGGTCGTCGCAGAAAAAGATGTTCTGAAAGGAGGACCGCAATGAAGAAGACCGCTTCCACACAGACTTTCAACCTCGTGTATGTTCAAAGTTTTCAAGTCCTCTATAAGGAAAAGAAACCTTCTCTCCACAAGAAGTTGAGCTGCAAGCTTAGATAATTCATCCAGAGTCTTTTCGACAGAGGCTCTTTTCTTTCTATCGTGCTTTTGCACGAACATGTTGACCACTCCATCATAAAGGTCACTTGTTTTCACCGGGAGAGGATTATTCTTCTTTGGTTGCTGTAGAGTATATTCAAAGTAGGAGCACATAAGAAAACAAAGCACAGGAATGTGGGCAAAGCTGACAAGATTGACATTCTTTGTAATGTGGTCCATGACAATTTTTTTCATTCGGTCGTTGTTTTTGAAATACTTTCCGATGTATTCTTTTACCTGTGGCTCGGAAAATCCTGTAATTTCAACGTATCTATCAAAATAGATGTCTTTGGCTTTCATTTCGTCAGATTCGTCAGGTCTTGACGTGATCATGACGACCGAACCTCTCAGTATTTTTCCTTTGATGAGCTTGGCACACAGTGCTGCAACTGGCATTTTCTCTCTGGCGTTATTTGGGTACTTTTCATCCGAATTACTAGCGATGTACTCTCGTTGTGAACACTCGTCATACCCGTCGATGATGATCAAAACTTCTTCGGAATGATGAAGAATGTACTCAAATATAGAGTCGTCGATATTTGAGCGGTCATCTAGCACTGAAGATCGGTTTAAAATATCCTCCAAGGTAACAGGGTCGTCCCCAAGTAGATTAAGCTGACGGAACGTGAGCAAGTAGGCGAACTTAAAATCAGGTACTTCTGCATTTGCTCTGGATTGAAACAATTTGTTGTCAGCCCAATCTTTGATCAGCTTTTGA